GATGCGTTTGACTTCCTCGTCCCACTTCGTCATCGCCAACCCCGTCAGCCAGGGACGGATCCAGCGGAGATCACAAATCTAAAAGGAAAAGGGGGAAGGGGGAGGGTCACAGGGTCACGCCCCCTCCAACTTCTGCCCTGCTGGAGGTGGCTTACTGGAGGTGGAGGTCAGCCATAGACCACAGTACATATAGTACATGGGGCTTAGATCGCGCTCGGGTGCTCTGTGTGTTGGCTCGATTCAACCGTGTGTCGTACTGTCGTATTGCAAGCCAGGCATGGCGGGGCAGGGCGGGGCGGGGCGGCCCGATCGGTCTGCTCTACTCCACGGGGCACTCTGGGCGATGCGTCATCTCCCCCTCCTCGTCTGCCCGGCGTCCTCGGGGTGCGCCCGGATCGGCGCGGGGACGCCGCCGGCCGCGTCCTTGGTACTTGCCCGCTGCCGCCGCAGCCGCGGCCGCTGAGATCACTGCCATCTACTTCCTCTCCCCCCGCCCCCTAACCTCTTCCTCCAACCGCCACACCTACAGGACGCGGCCCTCCTGGAGTCGACCTGGAGAAGTTGTGAACATTATTAGCCCAGGCTGGCCTGGATCGCTGTCTGGGGCCCGGTGGCGTAGCGTGGCCGCGTGCTGAGGTATGTGGTGGGCGGCGGCGGCAGACGCACGGGCCGCACGGGCCCCCGCACGGACGGGCGGCCGGGCACCTGGGCCCCCTCCCCGCGCCACAGTGCCTCGCGGCTCCGCTGTGCTCCGCCATGGCTCCGCGGGGTCGAGCAGGAGCGAGCCCGGGCGGGCCGTGCGGGGCCGAGACCTCGCAGGCCGAGCCGAGCCGGGGCGGGGCCGGGCCGGGCCGGCGGTCGGCGCCGCGTCAGTCCTGTGGCTGTGGGAAGCAACAAACAAGCGGCCGAGCCACCTAACCTCACTCTCTGCGTCGCGCGTCGCGAAGCCAAGTAAAGTTGTAAACGGCGCGTTCGCGGCTGAAACAAGTAAGAAAAACGACAACATCAAGACGGTGCTTTGCGTGCTTTGCGTGTGTTGTGACGCGACTAGTTCGGCCGGAGGAGACGACAGGGCGGGCTGCAGACGACGCCGCACTGTGTCACTTGCATCCAGCACGCCCAGCAGCGCCATCGCTGACGTCACCGCGGCCGCCGCTGGAACCGAGGTCGAGACCCGCGAATGAGCTTCGGTAAGCAAGTGCAGTCCGGCAGGGGCGGCCCCGGTGGCCAACAGCAGGGGGCTGTGAAAGTTAGTTCACAATTACTTTTACGAAAATGTGAGCTGCGTCAATGTCGAGAAAACAAATGACAGCGTGTAGCCGAAATAATATTGCCACAACTAGGTGCGCTTGTATACACTGTAAAACGTATATTTGTGAATTCCAGAAATTGCTAGTACTTTTCAATTTACAAACAATGTCGAAATTGCCAAAACAACATTTTAGATAAAATTTTCTTCATTTTTAAAACGAGGAGAATGAAACTTGCAGTTTTATAATTTGATTGAATTGTTCGATAAACTTTATTATTTTATGGAGAATGTTCTGTAAACATTTTGAATGAATGGTTAAGTTTATTCTGAACGTTTAAAAGAGACGGGAAAAACAATGACAAGCGTTTGCCATTTGTTACGGTATTACAGCTTTATTGTTGGGTGATTTTGTACTCTTTTCTCTTTCGATTTATCTGTTCGGCCAGTTCTCACGGGGGCGGTCCGATGGCACCTCGTCGGTCACGCGGGGCGGCCGTCAATGATATCACGCGGGGTGCGGGCGACATGTGTGGGTGATTGTTTTGGGCGCAGATGGCCCGTGGGTTAAAATTGGACGCTCGACCCCCCACCCCCACCCCCCTGGCGTTCCAACTGTCACATCGAGACAGACAACACATTGGCGAACAGACCCTTTCTTTACCCGTGCTGCTTGGCGGCGTATTTACAATAAGCCACTTGAAATTGGTATGTTCTCCTAACGGCTAGTTTGAAGTGGAGAGATCTCTTAGACTCGCCAAGAAGAGCCAAGTGGTTTTTCATGTCCGTGTAGTTGTACTATCACTCCTGATGATAAAAAATGAAGAAAAAGAATCTGGGCGACGTGCTCTGCGGCCGGGAGATAAGGAGGAGTTCCCTCGTAAAGCGGCAATTCTCCCTTATGATCCTCTTAACAAACAAGACCAGTAGGCAGTAGTACTCGCCATAAAGCACTGCGGTAAAAGTCATTAAAAAATTGTTGCATATTTCTACGTTTTCTTTTCCTTTTTGCAATGTGTGCGGCACGCGCATCCGCCCGCGCGCTCGGTCGTCTTGTACCTAAAAGTCCGCATGAGATCACCCGGCGTTTTCCCTAATCAGACGCGCCCCACGCCGCGGGCCCCGCGACGAGTCGGCGACACCCAATGGACGGACGGACAGACGGACAGGCAGACAGGCAGGCAGACGGACGGACGGACGGACGGACGGACGGACGGACGGACGGACGGACGGACGGACGGACGGACTGACTGACTGACTGACTGACTGACTGACTGACTGACTGACTGATTGACTTACTGACTGACTGACGGACGGACGGACGGACGGACGGACGGACGGACGGACGGACGGACGGACGGACGGACGGACGGACCAACACAAAAAGTTTCTTTGTCGCAGACGCCTCCCAAAAATGCGATATACGGCAAAAATACGACGGTGCTACTCTGAGTAGTTTTTTCTCTTTGCGGGACGCCTGGGGGCTAGGCAAATATTGGCGCTGGTGCGTTTTTGTTGCCTACCCGCTGGCCGGCAGGGGTCCAGCCCGCCCGTTGCCGACTGTTCTCGCGCGGTGCCCGGTGCCCCCTGGCGCGCAGGCAGGCGAGGCTGTCCGTGAGCGCGTTGGGCAGCCTACCCGCTCGGGGCGGGTGGAGCCGCTGGGGGCCGCCGGGCGCAGGGGCAACCCAACCGACGCGTCTCCGCCGAGCCCAAGCCGAGTGCGTCTCGGGCGCGGACGGGTAAAGGTGTGAAAATCGGTATCGACGAAGGAGGGAGGGAGGGAGGGAGGGAGAGGGCGATATGCCGATACGCTGCTCTCCACATTAAGCTTTTCGGTCACGAAAATTTATACTAATTTTGTGTTTGAAATCGAGCCTCGAATCCTCCTACCTGTCGATTAAGTTTGCGATTTCCAGTGCGGTTGTTTTCTGATATTCCGCCCGTAGGCCTTTTTGCGACGCTGCGCCACGCCTCCGGCAGCGACACCGCGGGGTGCAGCAGCAGCAGGGCGCTCGCATTCCTGTTGGGAGGGAAGGGAAGGGTTTCCTCGAAAGCCGCCTGCTGCAGCGCATGTTGCCGCGCCTGCCGGGCCGGGGGGCTTGGCTGGGGGCCGTTCAGAAACCACATCGACAATAGGGGAGGGGGGTCAAATATTATGGTGTCCCAAAATGATAAGGGCTGCCTTTGGAGTCCAAGGAGGCCCCATGATATTTTCACCCCGGGGTACACATATATTGAAATCTCCTTGGACTCCATAAATCACCGTCCTGAACCTTTTTGCGACCCCATAATGTTTTTGGACCCCGGGGTACAAATATTATGGGGTCCCCATGGATTTCAATAACCGTCCTGATCCTCTTGGGACCCCATATTATTTGGACCCCTTTCCCTAAAATCACGTGTTTTGTGCGTGATCCCCCTTTGGCTGCGGCTACTCTGGTCCTGCAGCGTGGTGTCTTTTTGCCGGCCGGAATGCGCGCACACACGCGGAAGCCGAACCACATTGTTGCTTGTGTCTGTCCCTCCCCTCCCCTCCCCGACCGAACGCACTCGGAGCACTCGGAGGCTCGCGCGCTCGCGAAAATGTTTGGGGTGTGGATTGACTCCTCGCGGCCGTGTGGTGCGGACGAGTGACGTGACGAGTGACCTCGATAGGGACGCGAGCCGAGCGCTTCCCACAGATCGGCCGCAAATCACACGAATGCTGCTATGGACTGCTAATGTTTTTGTTTGAAAGTGCCGTGGTTCGGTTGGGACTCAAATAAATTAAGCTATGATGGATGTGATCACCAATAACAGTTAGCTGGCTTCATGGAAAAAGTATCCATGAGTAAATTAGAAATAGAATTTTAAAATTCTCAAGACTGTATGTTGTTGACCTGGAATTCTACGACAAGCCAAAAAAGAAAAGTCCGCCGTAAATTCAAATTTGAAATGTATGATGTAAAAAATATTTTACTCTTACCGGGATACTTGTCACAGAGTAGGAATCCCCCACGGCACTTTGGTGCCACCTATAGACTGCTCACCTGTACACTTGACGCGGTGGTTTTGGTCAAACGATAGGCTTTTTTCAAGAACATTTTTATTTGTACGGATGCAATCTTTACGCTTGAAATGTACTTGAGCGAAAGCCATTATCAAGTACGGTACACAGATAGGTACACACTGTACTAGTCGTTAGTCGTACTAGTACAAGTTTCCACATTTTTTATCGGGAAAATTGGGGGGAAGGAGGGGGTGCACTAAAGCAATTTGTAGTTCAATTGCTGTTGTCAGGGCACTAAAGATCCAGCACCTAGTCCTAATTTATTTGTGTTTGTGTTTCTGGGGCTTCGTTTGTTCCCACGCGACATCAAGCTCGCCGTGATAATTGTGTCGGGCCCCCTCCCGCCGCCCGCGTCTCGCTTTCAGGGTATTTTGCGTGTGGCCGGTATTTCCTCCTCCAGCGCGCGTCAGGTGTTTCCGATGTCATCTCAGCTTCCTGGACCGCAGCTTCCGTTTGCCAATCTATGGGTTTTTTTATATATTTATTAATTGTATGGTCGCGAAGACCCATGGCAGTCGGGCGCGCGATAGAATTTAGCGGGAAAGTGTGGGTATTTTTAGAATTTCGTTTGTTTTCGGTCGGTCTAGCACTGAATTAGGACGGGGCGCGAGGTCGATATTCCGAGGTCGACCCATCCCAATAACGAGTTTGGCGGCAAAACTTTTTTTAGAGAGAAGAAGAGGAGGACTGGATTTGAAGCCGTGCCAGTTGCGTTGACTTTCTCCCATGTTGCAGGCGCGCCCTGAGGACGCTGCTGCCACCGCCACATCATGGCCAACGTTGCGAACGGCGCCCCGCCGCCGGACCCACCGGTAGCTCTCCCGGAGCCGGCCTCCACCGCGGACCCTGCACCGGGAGCTCTCCCAGAGCCGGCCTCCACCGCGGACCCTACACCAGGAGCTCTCCCAGAGCCGGCCTCCACCGCGGACCCTGCACCAGGAGCTCTCCCAGAGCCAGGCGCCACCATCCCCTCCCCGGGAGCTCTCCCGGAAACAGCGTCCACCACCCTCGCAGACCCTGCCCCGGCAGCTACCCCAAAGACGGCCTCCGCCACCTCGGACCCTGCCCCGGGAGCTCTCCCGGAGGCCCCCGCCCCCAGCGCCACCGCTGCTGAGGCTGACGCCGCCCCTCACCCTGCGCCCTCCTGCCCCACGGAGCCCCGTCCAAAGCGCGGCCGGCTCGGCGCGGGGGCCAGGTCCCCGGCGGGCCGCGGCCGCGGGCTCAAGGCCCCCGCGGCGCCGCTGCCGACCATCCGGGTGCAGGCGCCGGGGGCCACCTCCGCGACCGCCCCCGCGACCGCCCCGGCGGCCAGCAACGGCGGCACCCTCGGCGCAGCCAGGGGGGCCCGCGGGGGCAAGGCGCTGTGGGGGCTGGCGCGCTCCAAGGTGCGGCCGCCGTCGTCGCGGTCCAGCAAGAGCCCCTCGAGCACCGCGAGCAGGAGCCCCGCCAGCAGGAGCCCCAGCGGGCGCGCGCTCCCTGCCGCGGCCGCGGCCCCGCGTCGGGGGGCCGCCGGCGCCGTCCTGGGCAGGAAGAAGGCGGCCGGCTCCGAGGAGCTGCTGCGTGACCTGCGGCAGAACAAGGACCTGAGCCGCTGGGAGCCGGACCTCTGCATCCAGATGCTCAAGATCCCCTCCGCCCACAACTACTCGGCCATCAAGAAGCTCATCGCCAAGGCAGAGCGGTGAGTCTAACCCCCCATTACTGCTAGCCTTATATTCGAGTCGCGTATAGCATTTCATGAAAAGTATTTGTACCGTTGTGGGCCTTTTCTTCTTACTGACAATCACTGTCGTTTGGGAGCGCTCCCCCGTGTGCCGACCTTGCCACCACTGTACGGTTTATGACTCGCAAACCGCTTATCGATCCAATCCGATTTATGCTGCTATCTGCCGATACAGTATCAAATGATTTTTTTGCTTCGTTGGTTTCGCTCGACCCCGCGCTCTTGTGAGGTTTCCGTTGCACTTTTATCGAATGCATCCTCTGTTTTAACTTTTGTGAAAAGTGCTATGGTTTTCCAATGCGCTCCATATGCCCATTTCGTCGAGATCGGAGAGGGGTGCGCGGGTGTCGTGCGGCTGCTATGACCGCTGGCTGCTGACTGCTGGCTGCTGACCGCTGCTGGTCGCTGACCGCTGAGCAGCGGCTCCCGCGCCTGATCTTGATGCTGGCGGACGGCCTAGACAAGGGCGTCCGTCCCTCCCGCTGCACACGGCTGGCTGCTGCCTCCGGTCTGATCCCTCCTCCCCTTTCCTTCAGCTCGCGGGTCGCACCGCAGATGTGCATCGTACCCACCCATAGTCCGCGGTCGGCTGGGGGGCAAGCTCGAGCAGCACGTGTTTGTAATCTCCCAAGGATGATCAATCGAGCCCGGCGTCTAAAATTATAGACCCAATGTGCTGCTCTGCGGGCTGTTGCCACCTTTTGCTGCGTAGTGCATGCACTGGCGGGGAACCACCGGGCTTAAGTGCGCTTAGGTTGAGAAAATAATTAACAGATATACCTTTTTTTCCTGCTCCTTTATTATTTTTCTCGGTTGTCTATGCAAAACGCTATCGGCCCCTCTCATCTCTCTCCCCAAATCCACGTCTCTTCCAGATAATAAATAAGCCGGGTCATTTCGCGGTCCCTTTCGCAGTAAGAACAAAAGAAAAAAATAGGTTGGATGGTTTTAAAATGTGATAATGCTGTGTACTGTGCACTTCCCTCTGCATTAATTGATTAAGTAAGAACTATAAATTACAAATTTTGTTTCTTCCGTTTTTAGTTTGTCTATTGGGCCTCATGCATGCTGCCACGTGCAGCAGTACGGAGATCAGGGAGAGCGAGGGCAAAGGGCAGCGTTCCATGGTGTGAAAATAGATTTTCAAAGTTCGATTATATCACAAGCACGACTTTTCTAATGTTACACGTCGTAAAAACCAATTACTCCCTATATCTTTACGTTTAAAACGTAAGTAACAGTCAATATGTATACAACATCAAGCCCACCCCCGTGATCGGGCAGGGGCAGACACTGCCCGCCGAAGTTGGGCGGGAG